AATAAAGGGAACACCAGAATTTACGAGGTTCGGCTAATTTTGCCTACTCCTCGGACACAACCAATATTTTATTCCACTCCAAAAATACAAGTGAAATAATACTAAAGAGAGAAGATACAAATGCCTTAAACAGATGAGAAGGCAAATGAGAAGTGTGTTTCAATCCTAAACATTAGGCCTTCTTTTATAGGGGAAAAATCCCCCCCAAACTTAACTCCCAACCAATGTGGGACTTTGGCATTTTGCCAAACTTCAACATCATATAGATGGCTTTATTGCTGTAGTTGCTCATACGCATGTGATCCAGGGAGGACCTGTTACTGGTAGAGCTGCTGATGTAGTTGCAGCTGCTAATACAGCGGCTGAAGTTACTGTGAGGCTTGTGAAACCAGGAAGGAAGGTAATGTGTAATCTAACTCTTTCTTATTCTGGCACGCTAGAATATTTGATGTTATATAATGGAAGAGTCGGGAAACGTTATCTTGCGTCAAGTCGAGCTTTTCAAACTTTAGTTACCACCACTTATATGTATAGGACGGTTCACAGTAACAATTATCATTCCCTTATGGAGACTGCAGGAGTAACAATGCGGGTCAAGTGCCAGTTGCTAAAGATTAGTTGTGTGTTTTACACTTTTACCTCAAAATATTGTTATCTATCTTATCAAAATGTTGACGGGTGCGTATCAGATTCTTCAAAAGTACTGCATTTTTGGAGAGTCCGAGCAACATAGGTTTTAGCCTTTAGGTGGGCTTGATTAGATAGAAGGAATGTGATGAATATATGGGTAAGTCTGTTAAGTGCTGCTTGGAGGATGTTTATTGCCATCTGCCCAGCCTGATTGTGCTAGGAAAGTGGATTTGAAGTTCAAACTTGAGCATCAAAGTGAAATTTGAAAATCAAGATTTGTTTGGCTTGAATCTTGATCCTAGCTCTAGAAGCAAGACCTTTACTGTCTCAAGTCTTGGGAAAAAAGATCATTTAGTTGGAAGTGCCTAATGCGCGAGTAGTCATTAAGCAGTGGTGACTTATGGTTATATGATCATGTTTTAAAAGTGTGAACTTGTTTCTTAAAATAAGAGTGTATTTAGCTAAAGATAAGACACAATGGAAGAAAAAGATTCATATAGGTGATAGCACTAGTTAAGGATATGTTTTTAGACTTTTTAGAAAGCTTCTAATATTATTATTTAGTGATTTGTTTTAATTATTTTTATATATATTTAACTTATTTACTTTTAGTTTATTTACTACTCCCTCCGGTTCACAATAAGTGATCAATTTGCTTTTTCATTTTGGTTCAAAATAAGTGTCAAGTTATGTAATCAAGAAAGAATTCAATTTGTTTTTACAAAATAACCGCTATGTACATATCCCTAAAAAGTTTTCTTACTCCTCACTCACATTAAATGTTTAATTAGGGGTAGTTTAGTCATAGTAGGTATTTTTGTATAGAATTTAGTATTTTCTTAATGGGCGTGCTAAAAGCAAATTGGACACTTATTGTGAACCGGAGGGAGTATTATGATGATAAGAAATGAGTTCAAATGAAGTGGGGATTCATATAGCCAACCCAACTTGTTTGAGACTGCTATTATCCCCTCCTAGTTGCCTCAATATGCTGTGTGAGTTAATTATTTATGCCTTGGTCTTGTTTGAGTGTTTTGAAAATACTACATAGGTGGATTTAAGTTCAAGATTAATGACGACTTGCCTTTTATCTTATGCTTGTTGTTTTGACAGTTCATCCCAGTAGTTCTTTTCTAGCTACTGTTGTTATAGCGACTAGTTTCTGTTAGATATTTGTTGCTCAGTTTCTTTGACGTTGCAGAAATCGGATGTAACAGAAGCTATTCAGAAAGTTGCTGCAGCATATGACTGCAAGATCGTTGAGGGTGTTTTGAGCCATCAAATGAAGCAGTTTGTGATTGACGGAAACAAAGTCGTCTCAAGTGTGTCCAATCCTGATACCAGAGTAGACGATGCAGAGTTTGAGGAGAATGAGGTCTATTCGGTTAACATTGTTACAAGCACCGGTGAAGGAAAGGTAAAATGTTGAAACTTTGAGGCCGGACAATTACATGGAAACCAAAACTTATCAATTGAAAATGGGCTTTTCTCGTTTTTGGCCCGTCGGCCGAAGCTATTTACGTCCGTTAGCCAGAATATACAGAACATACACACTTATTATGTATATTTGTATATTTATGTATACTATATGTATATTTATACTTGATATACAAAACCTATGCATTTGCTGGCTATTAATTTTTTGAGCGGTCCAAAAATGGAATTATCCCAGTGAAAATCTCACAAGTATTTACTTTCTTGTGCCATTCAAATTTCGCAGCCAATATTGTTGGACGGGAAACAAACAACCATCTACAAGAGAGCTGTAGATAAAAGCTACAACCTGAAGATGAAAGCATCGAGGGTTATCTTCAGAGAAATCAGTCAGAAGGTCCCTATCATGCCATTTACAGCAAGGTTGTCATGATTTTCAATTTTTTTCTTTTTAACGAATTGTGCCGTAGTAAGTATAGTTGTTTCATGATTATCATGTTGTATCCTTGTTCTTCATAACAGGGATTTGGAGGAGAAAAGAGCTCGTGTGGGACTAGTCGAATGCGTTAAACATGAACTTTTGCAGCCATATCCTGTTCTACATGAGAAACCTGGTCCGTAAAATATTTTAGCGCTTTGCATTTAAAAAAATAAAATATTTCACCTCTCTGTTCTACACCATAACTCCATATGCTTAAGCTGCTGTAATTTGGGTCATGTTTGGCCGTCGACGGAAATTAAATAAGGTCGCTACCCAAATATACAAAACATATACACTGATTATGTGTGTATTTAAAATACAAAACCTCTACATTTACTGGCTATTATTCTTTTGAGGGGCCCAAAAATGTAATTATCTCTCATTTCTTTTCTGTGTTGTCATCATATTCCGGTAATGTCCCTTGTACTTGCAAACTTTATGCAGGTGATTTGGTTGCTCACATAAAATTCACTGTGCTATTGATGCCTAATGGGCCAGATAGGATCACATCTCATGCTATCCAGGAGCTGACACCTGCGAAGACAATAGACAATGAGCCTGAAATCAAGACCTGGCTAGCCTTACCTGTGAAGACCAAGAAGAAAAAGAAAGGTACATTTGAAAAATAACTGAAGTAATGTAGTGTTTAGGTTGTCATAACACAAGCATGTTGTTGGAGATAAATGTAGTAGTAACACTTGACAACATAGGTAGATGATATCAGTTAGGTTGGATTGAGTTTTGTTAGTTTTAGTGCGTTACGTCGTTTAGTGTTGTCAGAAATTTATGTGCCGGCAGTTAATATAGAGAACGTTTCTAGTGCTTTTTTTCTTTTTTAATTGAGTTAATTGCACTTTGTCATTAAGTATTGGAGTAACCTTTACTTCATATTTGACATTAATATTATTCATGAATAGTCCAAATGTAACATATTTTAGACATGAAAGGACCAAAATGCTCACTTTAATTAATTTAAGGTTAAATATGCTGAGTCGTATATCAGAAGGATCAACAAATCCCACAAGTGGGATCTAGGGATGGTACCTTGGTAGTTATATCAAAAGGATCAATATTACGTATACCAAGGATCAAAAGTAGAATATACCAATAACTTAGTGACCAAAAGTGCTATTGTTCCTTTTTAATTTTATTTTACGTAATATTGATTCTTGATGAATTAGAATGGAGCTACGTGGGCAGTGAAGATTTTATCGGAACATTGGATTATATACAACCTCGTGAAATTACAACCAATCAGAGTCTTGTATACATAAAGAACTCTCTATTTATTCTTTATTGACTTCCACTTGCTTATGATTAAGACTAATTTGTAGTGATCAATAACTCATTGAATTCTCATGATCACTGATTCTCTATCCTTTGATTAGCAGCTGAGAAAATGTCACTGGAATATAAGTTGGTGGGTGAAATGTTACTGAATGGAATGTTGCAGAGTCTCAACCTATGGAAGGAGAAATAATTGTTGCTGAATCTTAACAAGTTGATGGTGCTTGATTGATTCAATTCCAAGAACTATTTGGTTCTCATTGTTATTTGATCTAGGATTAATGAGGTCGTTTTGGACCTTTATTGTGGCCTTTTTGCTATACAAGACAGTTCTTTGTCCGGAGACTTTTGTCTTGTTAAATTATCCAGTGGGGTTTTCAATTTTCTAATGCTTTTATTGTCCAAAGCTTCAATGGGTGTGCTGTACTCTTCTCACTTTTGAAGTTGGATACGCGAGGGTTGGTGCACTGTGTGGTCTAGTGGTCACTGAAGTGGGAAGAGAATTGTGCGTTTTAAAGTTAAAACTCTAGTTGAAGCAAAAGTGACAAGATGATATTTCCTCATTTGTTACTTTAGTGGATAGACTTATATCTTGCCCTTGTGTTGGTCGGCTCCGATAGAAATAATTGAGGCTATGACATAACAAAAGAAAGAAGGATGGATATATATAAATGAGAGTTCTCTGATTCTATTTGCGAAAGAGAGTGCACATTGCAGGGACCCTACAAAAAGACAGAGCAAGTGCCATTGTTTTATTAAAGTGAATAAACGAAACAGCACTTTTTAAAATGAGTGATTTAACTTGGCAACTGAAAAGAAGAGATGGCATGAGCTTCAACACAGTAATCCCTATTTCTTTCTTGATCTGTTACATTGTTGGTCCCCATCGCAGTTTAAGATTTCTTTTATTAATTAGTAGAATCAGTTGGTGGTCATCATATTCGTTTAAATTTGTAGTTAATTGAAATGTATTTTGCTTTCTTCACTTTTTAATGTTCATGTATTTAATGGGCTCGTACAGCTAAACTACATAATCGCCCATGTTTTCCTAAATGTATTTTGCTTATCGCTCTTAAGGTCAAGATTAAAAGAGTCTAACAAGTAATCATAATTTGGGGGAGGGGACATGTCATCTTTTCCTAATAAAACAGTGAAGGATAATTCTAGTAGTTGTAAATAACTAGAACATAATTACATTCAATGTGGGGAAAAAATCTCATAATATAATCAATAGAAAAGAGAGAAAGGAAGAAGACGAAAAAGAAAGATTAGGGGGACAAAAGACGATAAGGGGAAAAGACAAGTACATTTACAACAACAACATGTAAAAGATAAAATAGCATCAAATAGTAACAAATTGGAAAATACGATACACAGAGCAAACAATAAGCAAATACTGGAGGTCAAAAAATACGAGAAAAACAAGGGAGCTACTAAGTACTAATACTATTAAAAAAGAACGGAGAACTCTCGACTACTTACTAGCCAACTACCTTAATCTTAGACCCCCACACCCTTTTATTCCGGGTCATATCTCAGTGAGTTGAAGTAGCGTCATATCCTGCTTAATCACCTCTCCCCAATACTTCTTCGGCCTTTATCTACCCCTTTTCAGCGCTGCCATGACGAACCACTCACACCTCCTAACAGGAGCATCTGTATTCCTCCTTTGCACGTGCCCGAACCATCTCAGACTCAACTCCCGCATCTTGTTTTCCACGGGGGCCACTCCCACTTTGTCTCGAATAAATTCGTTCCTAATCTTATAAAGGCATCAAATAAAATTCAATAAAAACATATTTATGAACATTTAGTGTATTTAATAATAATGTATATACAAGGTTTGGACAAACACTACTAGAAATTCGGCAAAAACTGATCACGGTCTACCATCAAAAAACCGGTTAAAAACCGACAAAAGTTTGGTCGGTTTTTCAAAATATTTTATTTTTTAAATTTTTTTTACGAAACAGACCAACTTTGATCGGTTTTCTTTGGTGCAAAAATGCGGGAAACTATTTTTGAGTCTCGCAAAATTTATTTTTCAAGAAACCGACCAACTCTGGTCGGTTTTTCACTTAAAATAAATTAAAACTAATATTTAAGAAACCGACCAAACTTTAGACGGTTACTTTCGTGCGAAAATATAATTAAAGAGTATAAATCAAATAAAAGACAGTCTTAAAATAAAATGCACAAATGGTCTAGTGGTAGAATAGTATCCTGCCACAGTACAGACCCCGGTTCGATTCCCAGATGATGAATCTTTTGATTACATAATTAAAATACCGACCAACTTTGGTCGGAAAAAACCGACCAACTTTTGCCGGTTTGTTAAATTCCGATCAACTTTGGTGGGTATGCCCTTCCGACCATCAAAATACCGCCCACACATAAATGGTCACGTTCTGGACTGTTATTGACCATTACCGACCAACTTTGGTTGTTTTTTTTGGTCATTTTTTGTCGAATTTCTAGTAATGAAAAGGACTGGATTTTCCTGAAAATGTATTCTAGGTTCTTCCTGGAACTACAACTCAAGTAAGTTACCAAATTGTGCAAATATGTCTGTTTTGAATGTTCACAATGTAGAAAAAGAATGATGGATTACAAGTGTTGCTGCAGTTAGTTCTCCAACAACCTCAGGCTAGGCTATGGTGTGACTGAAGCCTATATCGCAAATGTGTGTGTGTGTGTTATCTACGTACTCTGATGAAATTTTAATAAGGGTCGAAGGAATTTTATTAGAGCGAAAAACTGTTTGTCAGCCTTAAGAGAATTTGTTGTAATTGTTTCTGAAAAGTAATCATTTTCCTCTTACTTACGTTTTTTTTTTAATTTGAAAAGTGTTCCCCACCTTAACAACCTATTGATTGAAAGTAAATGATGTTCACCACTTGAGCAACCCACTTGTCTTTTCTCTTACCGTTTTACACTGAATTGGCACTAATCCTGGAAGAGTGAATTGCTGAGAAGTGCGAGTCATAATAGTATTAGATTTTGAGCCTGCCTCAAATTCAACAATTTTTACCATTATTTCGACGCAACTAGCAACTTTCTACAATTTGTTACGGCTGAATTTCACAAAGTATCATATAATTACAATTTTTTCCCATGGAAGTCATATAACTATGTTTTCTCACATAAAATTATAAGACTTCTACTAACTCACACAAAAATCATAATGACTAGAAAATACAACTTTTCAATAGTATTTTCTTTTCATTGTTTTATATTTTTTATTTCCAGTCTAATAAATAATAATTAAATTAAAATAGGAATGGTTCAACCTGACATGACCCACCCAACTCAATAACCATATATATAAATTAAAATAATACTAAAAGTAAATCCTTGAAAATATGATTCTTCAATCTTTTATTTTTCTTTTCAAGATATTCATACTTGTTTTAAGATCACTCCAATTATACTTTTTTTTTTGTCAGAGTTGTTTCATGCATTCCAAATTAAGTTTTTTTGTGAGGGAAAAATTTATTTTTAGTATTATTTTAATTTATGTAAATGGGTATTGTGTCAGGTTAGGTTGGTCTATTCCTATTTTAAGGAAAAAATATAAAATTAATCGGTCAGCCGAAACTAATTGCATTCGCTAACCAAAATATGTATATTATACACATAAATATATAAAATATATATTTTTTATTAGTTATTATTTTTTAGAGCTGCTAAAAATATATATATTTTCCTATTTTAGTTGTGTTATTATTTATTAGATTGGAAAAAATAAAAGAACCTGGAATAAGAAAATAGTACTGGGAAATTGAGTTTTTCGGTCACTATAATTTTTGCGTGAGTTAGTGAAAGTTTTATAATTTTTGTGTGAGAAAACAAAGATATATACTTTGGTGAAAAAAAAGTCATAATTATATGACCATTTGTGAAATTTACCCAATTTGTTACCTTTTACCTCTCTCGAATTGTTTTGGTTTTGTGACATAATACCTGTGAGCACGTGATTTTTATTTTCGCGCGACAATCGCTCCAAAAAGAATTAAAAAAAAATATAATTGGCCCTGCTGTACAATTTTCGGATTTCTGTGCGGCACCTTGTTGAT